ACAGTTTATTACTATGAAAGAATACAAAGAAAAATTAGCAAAGGGAAAAAGCTCACGCAACAAAGTCCAGAGGAAACTAGGTACAAATCTCCCAAGAATTCTTCCCCCATGGAATCACATAGGACACAACTTGTGACAACATAATGTGAAGTGTTGTCTACTAAGAAAGCTCATTAGACTCAGTGCCCTAGGTTTTTAGTCAGAACAGGTCACACAGGCACCTTCTGCCTAGCACATACCAAGATTCCAGACTCTACAAAAGGAAAGCAGTTGTTCTACTTGGTCATATGGTTTATACAATTTTATTTAGGCACAATGACCTTATCATTTAGAGGATTTTTAGATCAGTTTTAGATCAGTACCGGGAACTGTTTACTAGCTAAATTCAAGATACTAGCCAAGGGCCAGTCTTGCAGGCAGACCTAAGGACAGTCCATCCCAGGCCGGCTTTGTTAAAAGTGATCTGCACAAGGAACTAGTAAGATAGGAAAAAAACCAGAAGAGTAGCTCTAGAAGCCAAATGAAGAAAATGCTTTAAGGAAGCAGTAAGATGTTAAGTGGAGCAGGTAAGTTGAACCATAAAAGATTTCAAAACTGCTCACTAAATGTAGTTATGTAAGAGGTTACTATAGATCTTAATCTTTGTGGGTGAGAAGCATAGAAGTAAGCCTGATGGGAAAAGGTTTAAGAAACTGAGGTGAGAGGAATTGGAGATAATAAATATACATAATTCTAACTTTTGAACAAAGAAAAACCTAGAAACTGACAGTAGCTGGAGGAACATACAGGATTTTATAAAGTAAGAGATATTATAGCAATGCTTATATTCTGACATAAATGTTCTAATAGAAAGGAAAAATAATTTATGATTCAGGTGAGGAGGAAAATTGATGAAGTGATAATATTTTCAATGAAAAGGGACAGAAGGCTATATAAGTAGAGGAGTTGGTCTAACAATCTATGGTAACAGAAGACAAGGCAGAATATATAGTACAGATGAGGGTTGGCTGGCAGATATAAGGGTGGGAGATAAGGGTAAATTCTAACTGCTTCTATTTTGCAGGGAAATACAAAGTAAAACCATGGGCAGGGGGATGGGGAATGGAGTTTGAGGAGAGAAGAAAAGATGAAATAGCTGCCTTGTAGGATAGGAATGGATTAGGGAAATGTAACAGAAGCGCCAACAGCCGTGAGGACACACCTTAGGTTAGTAGTCAGTACTTTAAAGTAAGAACAATTACATGGTCGTGGGTTTTCTCCATCCAAATCCGCTACATACATACCAGCACACAAAAGGCTCAGAGTTAGATTTAACAAGAGATGAGATTTTCCCAAATAGATAAAATAAAGGGAAAGAGAAGCAAGAAAGGTAAGGGAGTCGATAAAATGGACCATGGAACTTAAGTCACATAAGGAAGTAATGAGAGGGTAGGTCCTTTAAGGGAGTAGAATCAAGGGATGGTAGGTCCTGGTAATGTCAATTATTTGGAATGTTTGTCAGAGGCAGGATACAAGAGAAAATCAGCTGAAAAAAAATGGAAGTGGTCATCAAAGAAAATATTTGCAACTGTAATTCAGTCACTGGTAACAGAGGTCTAAGAACTATTGAAGCGGGTGGCTGAGGAAGAGTGGAAAACAGTATCACAACATGAAGTCAAAAAACTAAAGAGGTACTAAATGTTTAAGGAATTAGAGGAATGGCTCTGAATCGGTGAATAACTGCAGTAAGAAGTGAGTACAAGAGACTGATGTTGCGAATTTCAAAGATGTCGGGTTATAGGGAGGACAAGTAGTATGAAAGTCCCAAAAAAGAAATCCAACTCCAGATTAAATGAGGGAAGAATATATAGCACAGCATCTGGCACCACAGTCAGCACTCAATATAGGTTAGTTCGTAGTAGTAGCAATAGCAGAAAGAAAAGTGGACTTTAATCTTTTACTGACCTTTCAAACATCAGGATCCTTCTTGGTTTAAATGATCTTTATTGGTGGGGTGCCTGCGTGGCTGAGTCAGTTAAGCATCTGCCTTCAGCTCAGGTCATGATCCCAGGGTCCTGGGATTGAGTCCCACATTGGGCTCCCTGCTTAGCAGGGAGTCTGCATCTCCCTCTCCCTCTGCCCCTCTTTCCTTCCGCCTTCCCTGTGCGCTCTCTCTCAAATAAATAAAATCTTTAAAAAAAATAATCTTTATTGGCTTCTCTTGTCAAATGTATAAGGTATCAGTAAATCAAAGTTTTCTGGCAAATCCCAAAATACTTACTGATTTTGAGCACTTCCTACTGTGGAAAGCAAAGAACTTTCTCCCACAAGCCCAATTTTTTAAAAACTGAGGAATAATATACATACCAAAAAAGCACAATCTTAGGCATATTGCTCAATGAATTTGTACAAAAGTATGCACTATTGTAATAACTCAGATTTCTTTCCACCTCACAAGGCACACTTTTGCTCCTTCCCTATTAATGCCCCCTCCCAGAACTTACAAGTATTCAGACTTCTATTAATATGGATGCGTTGGAGCTGTTCTTGAATCTCAAATAAAAAGAATCATGAAATTTGTGATCTTTTTTACATTTTACTGCACTCAATATTACTTATGTGAGATTCAGCCACGTAGCTATATGCGGCAGTGGTTCATTCTTTTCAGTTTGTGTCTTCTTTCAGTGTATGAATACATCACAACTTTTTTAAATCCATCCTACAGTTAACAGACATTTCAGTGGTTTCCTGCTGTTTGGGAGGGTGGAGGGGAGCACTATTATGAACAAAATTCCATTGACATTCTTGTACATGTCTTTGGTGAACACGTGTATTTCTCTTGGCTATATTCCTAGGAGTGGAATTGTTGGGTCACTGGATAAGGTCACCGAGTTCAGTAGGTATTGCCAGTTTTTCAAAGTTGCACCGTTATCCATTCCTACAAGGAATGAATGAGTTCCAGTTAATTCAGTCTTGCCCACTCTTGGTATTGTAAATATTAGACATTGTACTTGTGTGCAATGGTGTCTCACTGTAGTTTCAATCTGTATTTCCTAACAACTAACGATGCTGAGCACCTTTGCAATGCATCTGGATTTCCCTCTTTTGAAAACAGCTATCCAAGTCTTTTGTCCATTTTCAGAATTGAATGGTCTTCTTACTGATACGTGAATTTTATACACACACATATACATACATATAAACATGTACATTTTATACATATACCTATGGCTGCCTTTTCCCATTGTTATGTATTGTGATGAATAGTTCTTTTTTAAGATTTTATTTATTTATTTGAGAGAGACAGAGAGAACACAAGCAGGGGGAGCAGGAGAGGGAGAAGCAGACAAGAAAACAATAGAGACCAATAAAGATAACTTTTTTTTTTTTTTTTTTAAGAGTTTATGAGACAGAGAGAGAGCACACGCACAGTGGGGAGAGGCAGAGGAAGAAGCAGACTCCCTACTCAGCAGGGAGCCCGATGTGGGACTTGATCCCAGGACCCTGGGATCATGACCTGAGCTGAAAGCAGACGCTTAACTGACTGAACCACCCAGGCGCCCCTGTGATGAATAGTTCTTAATTTTAATGAAGTCCATTTTATCAGACTTCTCTTTTATGATTAGCTATTTTCCGGTCTTATTTAAGACATCCTCATCTACCTCCAACATCTCAGACATTCTCCTATGTTTTCTCTTAAGCTATTTTATAGTGTTAAAATTTTACCTTTAGATCAGTAATCTCTCTTGAATTAATAATCATATGCAGTGTGAGGTACAGGTTTAAGTTTTTTTTTCTCTTCTCTAGTATGGATTCCTAACTTAACCAGCACCATTTACTGGAAAGACCATCTTTTTCTCCACTGAACTGCAGAGGCACCTATGTCATAAATCAGATATCTGTATATAGTGGGTTTGTTTCAATCCTCTCTATTCTGTCCCAGTGGTCTGTCTAACCTCATGCCAAAACTAAATAGTCTTAATTACTATAATTTCATACCAAGTCTTTATATATTACACTTTAAGTTTTCCAACTTTGTTTCCGACCTTTTCTTCAAAACTGTCATAGCTATCCAAGTTCTTTTTATTTCCTTATAAATCAGCTATCAAGAAGCCTCCTAGGACTGCACTGATCACCACGCACTCTGAAATGGTGCAGCAATCTTAAAGATCAATGGGAAAACTATGATTGTTCTGTGATCTTCATGAACTTTTGTCAAAAGAGTTAAAAAAAAACCTATTACTGGGGCACCTGGGTGGCTTGATGGTTAAGCGCCTGCCTTCAGCTCAGGTCATGATCCCGGGGTCCTGGGATCGATCCCTGTGTCAGGCCCCCTGCTCAGCAAGGAGCCTGCTTCTCCCTCTGCCTGCCGCTCCCTCCTGCTTGTGCTCGCTCTGTCAAATAAATAAAAAAATTCTTAAAAAAAAACCACTACCAACAACAAGAAAACCCTGTCAGTTATAAACATACAGGGAAATTAAGTAAAAGGAAATTAATAATTATTTAGTACACTAAAATTTAAAACATTAGAAACATTGAGAATTAAAATATTTTAATTCCTGGAAAAAAAACTTTTCAAGAGTCATTTGAACACTGCTTGCCTTGTTGTATACCTTACAATATGTCACAAGCATCTTTTCTATGCCTTGGCAATCTGATAATGTTGAGAGACTTCTAATCCATGAACAAAGAATGTCTCTCCCTATACTTGCACATTCTTTAATTTCTCTGACACATTTTGTAGTTTTCTGTGTATAAGTCTTACACACTTTGTTAAATACACTTTTAAGTACAGGTGACCCTTGAACAATGTGGGGGTGGGAGTGTCAACCCCCATGCCACTGAAAATCCACACATACCTTTTGATTTCCCAAAAAACTTAAACACTAATAGTCTACTTTTACCATAAGCCTAATGGATAACATAAACAATTGATTAGCACACATTTTACATACATATTACATACTGTATTCTAACAATAAACTAAGCTAAAGAAAATGTTACTTAAATCATAAGAAGCCGCTGGGGGTCTCTGCTGAATCTCAGACTTCTAGAGACTGAGCTGCTCTGCAAGTAACCATGCCCCGTGGAAGCCGGAGCCGCACCTCCGGCATGGCCCCTCCGGCCAGCCAGACACCTCAGATGAGAGCCGCGCCTAGACCAGTACCAGCAGCTCAGCCCCCAGCAGTGGCTCCACCATCTGCTGTTGGCTCACCTGCTGCTGCACCCCAGCAGCCAGGTCTCATAGCCCAAATGGCAACCACTGTAGCTGGCGTGGCTGTGGGCTCTGCTGTCGGGCACCGGATGGCCCATGCCGTCACTGGGGGCTTCGGTGGAGGAAGTAATGCTGAGCCTTCAAGGCCTGACATCACTTACCAGGAGTCTCAGGGAACCCAGCCAGCACACCAGCAGCAGCAGCAGCAGTCTGGCCCATGCCACTATGAGATGAAACAGTTTCTGAAGTGTGCCCAGAACCAGGGTGACCTGAAGCTTTGTGAAGGTTTCAGCAAGGTGCTGAAACAGTGCAGATGTACAAATTGATTAGCCTAATCAAGAAGTTCAAATTGAAGATATGGAAAATCATCTCTCATGACCAAGTTAATTTAGCATAAAAATATAATTAACAGTGAATATATAAAGTGTAAAACCACCAGTTAAACCTCTCCATCATTAGGGCGCCTGGGTGGCTCAGTTGGTTAAGCAACTGCCTTCGGCTCAGGTCATGATCCTGGAGTCCCGGGATCGAGTCCCGCATCGGGCTCCCTGCTCGGCGGGGGGTCTGCTTCTCCCTCTGACCCTCTTCCCTCTCATGCTCTCTCTCATTCTCTCTCTCAAATAAATAAATAAAATCTTTAAAAAAAAAAAAAAAAAAAAACCTCTCCATCATTAAATACAGCTTTGTCCAGATCTGGAATGAAAAAGGGTGTTCTCACTGTATAGAAATTGAGATGCTTTGAGTTTGGGGCTCGGCAGATGTTTGTGTGTCTCCTTAAATCACCTTTTGTGATATTCTCATTTGTGAATTAATGAGAATAAAGTGATTTTCTCCCCTCCAAAAAAATATCATAAGGAAAATACATTGATAGTACTTTACCGTATTTATCAATACTGTAAGTGTACATCATCTATTTACAAGATGAATCATATCAATATTGTCTTATATGATACAAAAACACTGTCAAAATTACATGTATTACTAACACCAGACATCAAAACTGAAAAGACAATGGGTGCCTGGCTGGTTCAGTCAGTAGACTGAAGACCCTCGACTCTTGATCTCGGTGTTGTTGAGTTCAAGCTCCACATTGGGTGCAGAGCTTACTTAAAAAAAAATAAAAATGAAATGAAAAGACAATGTCAAAAAGAAATTTACATTTACAGGTATAATGACTCATGTATTGATAATGAAGCAGCAACATGATTGCTTTATAGTAGCCTAGTATAATCGATACAAATGTTTCCTGATAGCCTAACCTATACACTAATGAATGGTTATAAAATTTTTATAGCATAAAGTATTACAGTCATATCCATAATACAGTATTGGAAACACTGTCACATTGCTTTAAAAACCACTTACCTGTGATGATAGGATGACAGTTTCTCCAATTACAAGAGAAGCATACTGTATGATAATGTAATTCTTTGAAAGCAAAGTTATAAAACATAGGAAACCTAATTAATTTTAGATTAAACATCACTCACCTTATGCCTACACAAGGATAGGCTATCCATTTCCATAGAAGTCTTGCATACAATGTTCTATGCAATGAATATTTAGGCAATAAAAATGACACAAAAATACACAGTTCTTGCCATAGACTTATTAGACTTTCACACTAAGACACATGCATACACAGTAGACAACTTCAACTACTGTACAGCACGATAGTTATTTACTATTCACTAAGTGGAAGTGATCACCATAAAGGTCTTTATCCTTGTCATCTTCACAATGAGTAGACTGAGGAGGAGGAAAAGGAGGGGTTGGTCTTGCTGTCTCAGGGGTGGCAGAAGGAGAGAAAGAGGGGGGCGGCCAGGACAGGCTGGTACACTCAGTATACCTTTATGGATACACACTGTAATTTGACTGTTGTTTTTTCATTTCTCTAAAAATGTTTCTATACCCTACCAATCCTTCTTCCACCGTGTCCTTTAACTTCAGTGCTCATAACACAGAAGAGCCTATGTTGTGAAAGAAGTTAAAAGCAGTCTTGAATAACTGAAACACTTCTGCCAGATTGTCAGATGTCAATTTGTTTTCTGGCATTGCTCTTCTAGGTCTTCCTCATCATCTGGCACTGGTTCAGAAGTACTCACCTCCATCAATCCAGCTTCTGTTAATTCCTCTGGTATGGTATCTATTAGCTCTTGAATTTCTCCAAGATTCTTATCTTGAAACTGTTCACCGACCACTTTTTTTTTTTGCCATATCCACAATCTCTTTCATGAGTTCCTTGACTGGCTCTACAATAAATCCTATGAAGTCATGCACATCATCTGGACACAGTTTTCTCCAGCAGGAATTTATTGATGCAGGCCTAATGGCTTTCATGGCTTTTCCTATAAAAATGATGAGCTCTTCAATCCTTCCAGACTTTTATGGTGTTCTCCCTATCAGGGTTCTCTTCCATAGTGTTGATAGTCTACCTCTGTAATGAGCCATAAAGGTCCATATAACCCCCTAGTTTAGAGGCTGAATAAAAGATGTGTTTGGGGGCAAGCAGACTACCTCAACATCTTCAGTGTTGAACTCAAGGGGTTCTGGGTAGTCAGGGGCATTGTCCAGTATCAACAGATATTGATATTAGGGACAAAGCATCACTGGAATCAATGCAGAAAAAAAGTTCTCATTGTTCAGCCCTTTTTGCATAACCAGAAGACTGGTAAGCTGGTATTTATTTTTTCCCCTCAAGACTCAGACATCAGCAGTTTTATAGATAAGGGCAGTCCTGATCATAAACCCAACTGCATTTGCACAAAACAGTAGAGCTTAGCCCCTCCTGCCTTAAATCCTGGTGCTCGCTTCTCTTCCTACTAATACGTGTCCTTTGTGGAATTTCTCCTGGAAATAGGGCACCTTCATCTGCATTAAAACCTGTTCAGACAGATACTCTTTCTCCTCAATGATTTTCTTAATGGCATCTGAGAATTAGTCTGCTGCCTCTCCATCAGCAGGAGCTGCTTCCCCTGCTATCTTGACATTGTTTAAGACAAACCTCTTTCCAAAATTATCAAACCATCCCTTGCTGGCATTAAACTCTCCATCTTTAGATTCTTCATCTTCCTTTTGCTTCAAGTTGTCACATAATAACTTTGCTTTTCCTCAAATCATAGTACAGTCTATAGGTATGCCTTTCTTATAGCAATCCTGCACCCACATAAAAGTTCCATTTTCAATACAACATAAAAAGGTATTCACAAATTGCAAAGTTTTTGCACCTGCTGGTGTAGCACAGCAATGGCTTCATGAATTTCCTTCTTCTTTTTCACAGTGATCCTTACACAGGATTCACTTATCTTGAAATGGTGGGCCAACCACAGCTGTAGACCTTAATCTACATATCAAGCAATTCAATTTTTTATTGTAATAGAACTTTTCTCTGCTTCTTGGGAGCACTCCCAGCACCAGTAGTGGCACTTTGTATGGATCCCAGGGTGTAACCCAAAGTTTACATTATTGCACTAAAGACAATGAAAAACACGAGAATCCAGAGAGATCACTTTTTACTGCAATACACCATTTACTGGAAATGAACTGCCCTCTCAGAGATGATTAGCATCATATGGACTTTATTTATTTAATCTCTACATCCAACGTATGTATGGATAAATTAAATAAATTTATTTAATCTCTATATCCAGCTCAAACTCACAAGCCCGAGATGGACAGTCACATGCTCTTCCGACTGAGCCAGTCAGGCACGCCAGCACCACATGTTTTTTTAAGTGGATACCTGCAACAATTGAGCTCACTACAATAGCAACATGAGGTGGCTATGAAATTATTACAGTAGTACAGTATGAAGTTAATTTTATGCAGTTAAAATTTAATAGTGCATCTTTACATTTATCTACATTTCTCACGAATGCAAATGGTAACACGCACAGTATAGTCTGTTTGGAGTGTAAGTTTTGACAATTTTTAACTTTTAAAAGATTCGTATACACTTTATGGTGGTAAATGATAAAACAGACTAATACCCACATACATTTTATACATTCACAGTACTCTTTTTTAAAAGATTTATTTTAGAGAGAATGAGCAAGTGCATGCACAATCAGAGGGAGGGACAGAGAAAATCCTCAGACTCCCTGCTGAGCAGGGAGCCCCACCCAGGGCTCGATCCCAGGGCCCTGATGTCATGACCTGAGCCAAAAATCAAGAGTCAGATGCTCAACTGAACTGAGGCACCCAGGCACCCTGATACACCTTTCTTAAATTTTTTTCAAAATTTCTAGGCTACACAGCTCATCTATGAAATTTTTCCAATTGTCAAAAATTTCCAAAAATATTTCTAATACATGTATTGAAAAAAGTCCACGTATAACTAGACCCCCAGTTCAAGCCCATGTTGTTCAAGGATCAACTATATTTTATTCTATTTGTTGCTATTGTGAATTAAGTATTTTCAGATTGTTCATTGCTAACATATAGAAACACAACTTTTTTTTTTTTTTTTTTTAAAGATTTTATTTATTTGAGAGAGAGAGACACAGCAAGAGAGGGAACACAAGCAGGGGGAGTGGGAGAGGGAGAAGCAGGCCTCCCACCGAGCAGGAGCCTGATGTGGGACTCGATCCTGAGACTCCAGGATCATGACCTGAGCCAAAGGCAGTCACTTAACCAACTGAGCCACCCATGTGCCCTATCCTGGAAGATATTTTTAATAATTGACATGATACAGCCAGTATATATAACATTTTTTCAAATATACATACTTCTAACCCAACAAGACCTGAGCCAAAGGCAGATGCTTAATGACTGAGCCACTCAGGTGCCCCTATTTTTCTCTTTCTTAGAGAAGTTAAGTATTTTCCCTTAGGTTGAGCATTATTACTTTGACTTTAATGCTTTATATCCTGGAAGATATATATATATATTTTAAAGATTTTATTTATTTATTTGAGAGAGCGAGTGAGAGAGAGTGCATGAGAAGGGGTAAGGTCAGAGGGAGAGGCAGACTTCCCACTGAGGAGGGAGCCTGATGTGGGACTCGATCCTGAGACTCCAGGATCATGACCTGAGCCAAAGGCAGTCACTTAACCAACTGAGCCACCCATGTGCCCTATCCTGGAAGATATTTTTAATAATTGACATGATACAGCCAGTATATATAACATTTTTTCAAATATACATACTTCTAACCCAACATCCATAGATTATCTGCACTGCTTTTGAAATACAGTATCTGGCTTAAATGGTGAAGATAGGAGCATTGCTTTGTTTTGAGTTTTATCAAAATTTTTTTCTATTGAAGAAATAAAATTTGCACATGCAAATGATTATAAAGTGTACAGAACAGGGACCCCCAGGGTGGCTCGGTCGGTTGGGTGTCTTGACTCTTGATTTCGGCTCAGGTCATGATCTCAAAGAGTCTTGGGATTGAGCCCCGTGAAGGGCTCCGAGCCCAGCAGGAAGTCTGCTTCTCTCCCTCTCTCTCT